ACCATAAATATGCATGCCAGCCAAATCTACAATCATGCCCTTCCAACCCCAACAATCTGTCATTTTCAAGCTTCACCCATTGATCCATCCATGTTAGACAAACCGCTTCATAATATAGTCTAAGATTTGGCATTTGTAGACCTCCTCTTTCTTTGGCATCACAAAGTATTTTCATTTTGATCCTTGGTTTCTTGCCTGCCCAAACAAATTTTGACAACTCTTGTTGCCACTTGGCCAACAAATCCGTTTTATGCAGAATTGGTATTGTTTGGAACAGGAACATCAAACGTGGTAGGACATTCATTTTTATAACTGATATTCTTCCCATCAGTGATAAGTTCATTTTATCCCATTTCTTAAAATCTTGAGTCAGCTTAGTCCATAATTTCTCATAATTATTCTTATATAGGTCTATATTTTTTGCCGTTAATTCAATTCCAAGGTATTTTGTTTTTTTAACTACTTCACATTGTACCAGTTCTTGTAGTTCCACTTGTTTTTGTTTGATCATGTTTTTACATATAAGTTTTGTTTTATTCTTATTTACGTAAAAGCCGGCCAATTCTCCAAACTCCTTTATTTTTTGAAAAAGCAATGTCAATTTTTCTGTTGGGTTTTCCACCATAAACATTACATCGTCTGCAAATGCTCGATATTTGTATTGGTGTCCTTTATGTGTCAAGCCCTTTATTTCTTGATCGTACTGTATTTTTTGTAAAAGTATTTCCAATACCCAGATAAATAATAACGGTGATAACGGACAACCTTGCCTTGTTCCTTTCTGTACTTTGAAGTTATCTGTCAGTTCTTTATTCACATTTATTTTAGCTCTTTGTTCAGAATAGATAGCTTCAATACAATTTCTAAAATGTTGTCCCGCTTCAATCTTTTCCATCATCTGGTGCATAAAATTCCAATTAAGATTGTCAAAAGCTTTTTCTGCATCAACAAACAGAAAAGCTACTTCTTTTTCTGGGTGCTTTTCATAATATTCAATTGCGTCCATTACTATTCTTACATTGTCTCTAATCTGCCTTTTGGGTAAAAAGCCCGCTTGATCTTCAGAAATTACCGTTTGTAAATAGTTTTTCACCCTTTCTGCAATAATTTTTGCAAAGATTTTATAATCGTTGTTCAAAAGAGATATTGGCCTGTAGTTCTTTACATTTGTTGAATCTTGTCCTTCCTTTGGAATCAAAGAAATAATTGCTTCTTTCCATGAGTCCGGCACCTTTTTGTTTTCTCTTATTTCGTTGGTTAAAGCTTCCAGGACCGGGGAAATTTCTTCTTTCATCTTTTTGTAGAATTTCGCTGTAAATCCGTCCGGCCCAGGCGCCTTCCCCAACTTTGTCTCTTCTATTGCCTTCATCACTTCTTCTTTTTGAATTGGACCATTTAATAAATCTTTGTATTCCTTACTTATTTTTGGTAGTGGAATCTCCTTTAAATATGTTTTAATCTTCTCAAGATCAACTCTAGTTGTTTGGAATAGTTTAGCATAATACTTGAAGAAACATCTCTTTATTCCATTAGGATCAACGAACTCTTTTCCATCTTCTATTATTTTGGTTATCATTCTTCTCTCTCTTCTAGCCTTAAGTTGCCAAGCTAAGTATTTTCCCGGTTTGTTCGCCCCTTCAAAAGATTTCTGTTGTAACTTCTTTAAATTCCAATACATTTCCTGATTCCAAGTCTCATTCAGTTGTTCCTTCAGCAACTTTAATTCTTTAATAATTTGCTTTTTTCCAGGCTTCTTTTTTAATTCCTTTTCTTTCTGAGCAATTTTTTCTAACACTTCTGTTTGTTTTTGAAGTTTTTCCTTTTTTTGCTTCACGTTTTGCGAGATGAGAATTCCTCTCATCACCGCTTTATAAGCATCCCATACAATCTGTATCGGTGTTTCTTTATTTAAATTTTGTTGAAAGAATTGTTTCGTTTCTTCCTTTAACATCTCAATTACCGTTTTCTTATCCAACAAGTCTTCATTAATCCTCCACAGAAAGGGTTTTTTCCTTTCTGTGGAACTCCATACCACCGGATTGTGATCTGAATTACATCTTGGCAAAATTTCAGTCTTATGTGTTTTCATTGATAATTCTTCAGACATCCAAATCATATCAATTCTGGAAAAAGAGCAATGTCTATTGGAATAAAAAGTAAAGTCTTTCTGCATCGGGTTCCATTTCCTCCAAACATCTTCTAATTTTTCTTGCTTAACTAATTCAAAAAAATTCTTTGGCAATTTTCCGCTGAATTCGTTGTCCTTTTGTGGTTTTCTGTCTAGACGATCTATTGTCCCATTAAAGTCTCCGGCCATAATAACTTGCTCATAAGTCAATTGTTGTAATTGGTCAGTTATATCCTTAAAAAATTTTTCCTTTGCTCCATTGGGTGCGTACACGTTGATCAACAATGTTTTTTTCTGCTGAATCATTAATTCCACACCCACGTATCTGCCATCTATGTCCTTAAAAATTTCTGTAGGTTGTAACTCCTTCTTCACATATGTCACAACTCCTTTTTTCTTGTTTGAGGCCGCAGAACAAAATTCAATTCCAAATAAAGCATTCTTTAAATATTTTATATCCTGTTTTCTAATATGTGTTTCTTGCAAGCATATCACGTTGCATTTCTGTTTCTGTATCCAATGATTGATTCTTTTCCTCTTGTTTGGTGAATTTAATCCATTAACATTCCATGACAACAATTTGTACTCCATTATGCGTTTTATTTTAAAGTTCTCCAAAGACGTCCGCATTGTCCGCCTTAAATTTATAAAAGTCCATCATCGATCTGATCTGAATCCTCCCACCTTGATACGTAAAGGATAAACCTTGTGGAATCTCCCATCTATATCTGATGCTCAAAGCTCTGAGTTTGTCCGCCAAGGATTTATACCTTTTCCTGTCTTGCAGTATTGTTCTTGGGAGTTCTCTCATCACCATAATTTTGTTTCCCTCTATTACAAAAGGGACGTTGAATTGCTTCTTGAATATCTCCTCTGTTATTGATCTTGTTACAAATTGTACAATTACATCCCTTGGTAAATTCTTCTTTTCTGCAATTCTGGAGTTCACTCTATAAATCAAATCAAAGTCTGAGTCCATTGACCCTTCCTCCTCGCCCAGAAAAGCCGTTATCACTTCCATCATTTTTTCTTTTAAGTTCTCATTCTCTGTTTCCTTAATGCCTCTGAATCTCAGATGAGTCTGCATCCTTCTGAACTCCATCATTGTCTCTGATCTTGTAATTTGTTGAGTCAAAGAATCTTGTTTCTCTTCTATTTTTTGTATCTTCTCCTCTGTCTCTGTAGTCTTGGTTGCATTTGCTTGAACATCCTTCTTAACTCCTTCCATTTCTTGCTTGATTGAAGTTATTTCTGTAGTAACCAATTCCTTCAATGCTGTTATGTTCTTCTCTTGGACTTCTTCTAGATGTTTCAGATGAATCTGAGTTTGCTTCTCCAGTTGGTCCCCCAATGTTTTTTCTATCTGCTCCCCCATGGCTTGTATTGCCTCTGTCATTCTCTTCTCCATTGCTTCCATGGAGGCATTGTTGATCAACGTGTACGCACCCAATGGAGCAAAGGAAAAATTTTTTAAGGATATAACTGACCAATTACAACAATTGACTTATGAGCAAGTTATTATGGCCGGAGACTTTAATGGGACAATAGATCGTCTAGACAGAAAACCACAAAAGGACAACGAATTCAGCGGAAAATTGCCAAAGAATTTTTTTGAATTAGTTAAGCAAGAAAAATTAGAAGATGTTTGGAGGAAATGGAACCCGATGCAGAAAGACTTTACTTTTTATTCCAATAGACATTGCTCTTTTTCCAGAATTGATATGATTTGGATGTCTGAAGAATTATCAATGAAAACACATAAGACTGAAATTTTGCCAAGATGTAATTCAGATCACAATCCGGTGGTATGGAGTTCCACAGAAAGGAAAAAACCCTTTCTGTGGAGGATTAATGAAGATTTGTTGGATAAGAAAACGGTAATTGAGATGTTAAAGGAAGAAACGAGACAATTCTTTCAACAAAATTTAAATAAAGAAACACCGATACAGATTGTATGGGATGCTTATAAAGCGGTGATGAGAGGAATTCTCATCTCGCAAAACGTGAAGCAAAAAAAGGAAAAACTTCAAAAACAAACAGAAGTGTTAGAAAAAATTGCTCAGAAAGAAAAGGAATTAAAAAAGAAACCTGGAAAAAAGCAAATTATTAAAGAATTAAAGTTGCTGAAGGAACAACTGAATGAGACTTTGAATCAGGAAATTTATTGGAATTTAAAGAAGTTACAACAGAAATCTTTTGAAGGGGCGAACAAACCAGGAAAATATTTAGCCTGGCAACTTAAGGCTAGAAGAGAGAGAAGAATGATAACCAAAATAATAGAAGATGGAAAGCAGTGGATTTTTGACCTACTGCTGCAAGAGCATGATCTGTTCTTGTGGCAACTGGAATAGAGAAGTAGCAGAATACCCGTAAAACTTAATGATGCCCTTTCCCAACCATTTTAGATAGAACGTTTATATAATTTTTAGTGTACCTTTAAAACAATAACAAAAATATTATGTCATTTGTTAGCATTCAGAGTTTACTCGAATTGAAATTTGTATCTTGGTGTAATGTTTGGTGCAATTGCAAAACAGATGTTGCTGCAGTTAATGTTGAAAGAAGCTGATATTAAATCTCCTTTGACAAATATTTTTGCAGTTGAGACTTGTGTAGTTGTAGAGTAGAACCTTACCTTGCATTAATGCAATACGATTTTTTAACTTGTGGTTATATTTGAATGGTGGTCAGGGAAATTTACAAATGTTGGTCAGGGAAAGTCAGGGAAATGAAAAAATAAAATTTCAGTGGCAACCCTGAATAATGACTTACTACCGTAACAGAAGTTTGGGTGGGATGAAGCAGTTATCTATGGTAAGCACTGGAAAGACAAAAATTGTTAACTTGGTCATGATGATGTCGTTGCTGTTAGGTCCATCAATTTAGTAATAAATCTACAGAGATGGCTTTGAGAGTGGCATCACTTGACTATCTTGGAACGGTAGCAGCGCGACTGAGGAAGGATGCAGTCACTAGCAAAATGGATCAGGGATCTATAGCCCGAATTTTGAAACAGGTTTGAATTAAGCTTTTTTCCCCGTAACTAGCTTTTGAGGTTTTATTCCAGTTTTGTCTGAAGAAATGTGATTTGCACATGAAAGCTTACACTTTGAATAAAACTTGGTTGGTCTCAAAGATGCCACTTGACTCAAACTTTGTTCTTCTTTCCCCCAATCTGTTATGCACCTCTCAATAATAGTAATAGAGATCAATGTTCTTTAAAAGTTCATAGCATACTGGTCTGAATAACTATATAAAAACGGCATCTCGCACCTTGGTCTCTGTGTAGCTGCCAAAAACAAAACATTTTCTTCTTCTATGCTGCTCTATAGGGTTGTGTCATATCAGTCGGTGAAATTGATCCTCAGTTGGGAATCAAGATACAGTTCTTTGGATCTCTTCTACTTTTATTAATAAAGGGGTAACTTTACCAATTTACCTTTTGAGAGAAAAGTGCAAACCCCTATACTCCCATGGGGTTGGATCCACTGGCCTGTAAACACAGTGTTTGCAGATGTGATCAGTGTCCCCCCCCCCTGTAGGGCCATCTGGCCCATGGACCTGAGCAAAGTAAAAACCCTGACTGGGGGGGGGGGGGGGCTGCACTGAAGAGGGGGAAGCTGGCGAAATTGTCCCCTTCTGTCACCACAGCTCCACTGATGGCAGAGACAGGAAGGGCAGTTTGCCCCTTCCCACTCCATACTGCAGAACCCAAGTTGCAAACCCAGGGATTGACTTTCTTAGAGTCAGATGGCAATGCTGAGCAGAGGGAACCATGTGAGAACTCTGACCATCAGTGTTTTCCACTATTGACTCTCTGGAGCCAGTCATGATTTGTTCATGCAGTTTCAACTACCAGACATAGTTTTGTCATGGTCACCTGTAGGTGCCATATATATGAGCTGGTGCCTCCATGTGGCTAGTGTATCTGTGGCTACCCGAGTTCCCTGATGGCTGGTGGTTTGAAAAATGTATTCAAAACAAATTGAAAGGTGTTTTATTACATATTGATTTATCTGTGTTCAAGTCAGAGTTTTATCTGTGTTCAAGTCCATGATTAAATTGAGATGTGGCTACAAGTGGGTGCCTCCTAACAAACCGTGTCACATGGTCCACTATACTAATTTCAGGCATGTTTAGAACACAAAGCGATGAGAGTTTGTTTTTTGTGGTGTTGACAAGATGGCGAGAATGGGCTTTAAAGTTCATGGTTGTTTGTTACAGGTCTCAGGAGGGGAAGATGAAATACAACAGCTGCAGAAGGCATTGCTAGATTATTTAGATGAAAATACAGAGACTGATGCATCGTTAGTGGTATGTCTCGGTTGCTAGAATATAATCTGTATAAAATGTGTTTCATTAGAAAGATCATGCAAATATTTGGATATTGTATTACAGTGATTTTAGTAGCCCAACCACAAAATTTTTGAACTGATTCAAATGAAATTAAGCTCTGGAATCACTTTCTTTAAAATTAGTCAAAACACTAAATGCCAGTGATTAGTTCTTGCTCTTTTTATGTTTCTGGCATTTTTAAAATGGGGAGATGCACATTGTTCTAATGCAGTGGAAGCGGTCATTTATATTTGCATGGAAGAAAAGACTCATAACACCACTGGTTGTTAGTCATATCTATGATTGGGTTTTCATTCAGTTACCTGGAGAACACACAAGTCATAGAATCATAGAATCAAAGAGTTGGAAGGGACCTCCAGGGTCATCTAGTCTAACCCCCTGCACAAGGCAGGAAATTCACAATCACCTCCCCCATGCACCCCCAGTGACCCCTGATCCATGCTCAGAAGACGGCGGAAAACCTCCAGAATCCCTGGTCAAACTGGCCTGGAAATTTGCTTCTTGACCCCCAGAGTGGTGATTGGCATTTCCTTGGGTTCTCTTGGAACAGGCCATGAGAACTACGCACTAATGCAACCCTTGCTGCCTTCCCTGTCATGATCTGCCTAAGTTCACAGAATCAGCATTGCTGCCACCATCTAGTCTCTGCTTAAAAACCTCCAAAAAAGGAGAGCCTACCACCTCCTGAGGAAGCCTGTTCCACTGAGGAACTGCTCTGTCAGGAAGTTCTTCCTGATGTTTAGTTGAAAACATACCCGGGTAATCAAAGTCTCCCATGACCACTGTGTCCCATCTCTTTGAGAACTTTGTAATCTGTTCTAGGAGTCTCATATCCAAGTCCTCTGCCTGGCTTCGTAGTCTGTAGCAGACCCCCACTATAATATTACTATTATTTCTTACTCATTTTATATTTACCCAGAGACCCTCAACTGAACTTCCATGCTCAGATTCATTTATTGTCTCACAAGTATATACCTCCTTTACATATAATGCTACTGCTCTCTCCTTATTTATCTGTTCCTTTTAAACAAATTGTACCCCTGAATCCTAATATTCCAATTGTGAGTGTCATCCCACCAAGTTTCAGTAATGCCTGTTAAGTCATAGTACCAGGTTTTCAAATTCCTCCTGCTTGTTTCCCATACTCTATGCATTAGTGTAGAGACATTGGAATCCATGGTTTATGTGACCTGAGGTTTTTGTTCCTGTACTTACCTGCAAGTTAATGTTTACTTTCATATGTGCCACTCCCCACAAATCTTTAGCGTTCTTCTCTCCAGTTATTGGCATCTTACTAGGCATTGAATTTTTGTCTTGCTCCCCTGATAGGATTTAGTTTAAAGCCTTCCTTAGCAGGTTTGCAAGGCTCTCACCAAACACCCTTTTTCCTACACTCCTGAGGTGCAAACCATCTCCCGATGGAAGAGCTTAATCTTGAAAGCATAAGCCATGGTCCAAAAAACCAGAGCTTTCCTGATGACACTATGTATGTAGCCAGTCATTTATTTGCAGTATTCTCCTTTCCCTTCCTAAACCATGGCCTTCAACAGCATTCTCATTTTCTAATGAGGCTCATAAGCATGAGGAGCAGATGTGGGGGTTGTGCTTCCACATACATGTTATGGTCAGTTAATTTTAATATCTTTCTGCTTCATTTGCCTTCACATAAGTGAACAACAGCATTAGGTATTTCTGTAAAGCTACTCAAAAGAGCAGAATGCTAGTACTTTTCAGTCAAGATTAAAAGAACAAGAGAGAGGGCATAATTCTATCTGTCCTGCTCTTGCTCCATTGAAGTCATGTGCAGAATGTGTTCTTCTTGGCTCTGCTCCCTGCATGGCAAGAGGTCTTACTCTATAGAGCCTCTCTATGAAGGGGAAGAGTAGTTCTGCTTATTCTGTGATACTCAGATCTAACAAGTGAAGCACAAATCTCTAAAACAGGACAAAGTTTCTTATTTTAAACACTCATTTAGTATGTATGGCCCAGTTAGAGAGCATTCATTAAACAATTTTTGTTTGTATGTGTAAATGAACCTAGGTCCTCCTACATGTCAAGCAGGTGTTCTACCACTGAGCCATGTCCCCTCCTCAAAGTTGTTATTGACTTTGTGTTAAATAAATCCATTGTATTATCAATATGTTGCAAAATAGTTATGTCAGTAACCCTGGAACTTGGTCTGACTTTCCTGAACAGTCTCTGACTTCGTCCTCTGTTTCTTGTTATGTTTCAATTTGTTGTTTTCCCCACATCATCGCCTACCACTCTAGTTTTCTCGGAAATTTTACATAGCTCAGTGGTTTCGGGACACCACGATGGAGACCGAGAAAGCAATGAAGTCTCAAAAGGATGAAGATTCATCTGAAGGAACGCACCATGCAAAAGAAGTTGAGTCGACAGGACAAATCATGCACAGAGCAGAAAGTCGCAAAAAATTTCTTCGTAAAATCATTAAAATTGCACCCTCTCAGTTCAGTACGTTAAAGTGAGTTCACCAAGCTGTTATTCCTGTTATGTTTGGCATTTGCTTATTGGTGTCTTTGTTGAGGAGCATGTACTAAAGTAACATTCTGCTACTTGATTACAGGATGAACTCTGATACTGTGGACTATGAAGATGCTTGCTTGATTGTTCGCTACTTGGCCTCTATGAGGCCGTTTGCCCAGAGCTTCGATATTTATTTGACACAGGTAAACTGTGCCAGAAGTCTTAGTGAAATACAGTTGGTTTCCTGGTTCCAAACGCTTATGGGGTAGTGTGCAATATCTGTTCATTGTTGAGCGCAGGTATTTAATAGGTCATAACACCACCACATGCTCCCATAATTCTGTGTCAATTACATAAACACTTTTCTTTATCCTGCATGCATTCCACTCCTGCTCTAAATATATTTCATCTGTTTGGGTTTTTTTTTTTTTTTTGGTAGAACAGATAAAATGAAAAAGATAATTGTGGATACATTCCAATGGACTTTGCCTATGTTTGTTTGCATTCCTATTATGGCTTCACAAACCTATCTTCATTAATCACTGTAGAGCAGCATAATAATTCTAAACTGATAACCATTTCGGTAGCTTGCTTGCAGTGAACAGTTTTGCTGTAATGACAGCCATAATTTAACGGGTGCTTTTATATATTTCACGAGAATATGGCATGTGCAAATGGGGTGCCAGGCTGAGACTCCAGAAATATCTGTCTTCCTACTTAATGCAGTTGGTTGGTATTCAGTGTGTTCTTGACCAGAGTGGATAGGGAAAAGGGGACCAAAAACAATGGGATTTTGGAGTCGTCTTCTGGCTTATCTCCCAGTCATGGCATACCAGAACCCATTGCCTGGGTTCCTATTAAAAGAAAGCACCATATGCATGTATTACTTCACTTTGGGAGCCAGTTTGGTATAGTCGTTAAGAGCGGCAGACTCTAATCTGGAGAACTGGGTTTGATTCCCCACTGCCAGCTAGGTGACCTTGGGTCATTTACAATTCTCTCTCAGAGCTCTCTCAGCCCCACCTACCTCACAGGGTGTCTGTTGTTGGGAGAAGAAAGGAAGGCAGTTGTAAACCGCTCCGAGACTCCTTCAGGTAGTGAAGAGTGGGGTATAAAACCAACTTCTCCTCCTCCTCCTTATACAATCTACCTAGCACTGTTGTTGCACAGCCTCTGTTCATTTCAGCGATTAGACCACCACTCCAAAACCACTTCAGAGGTCAAGGACCCCATTCCTTTAGCAAGCTGTGGCAAAGATGTTCTGGACCAGGCCCTGCCTCTTTGATTCCTGACTTGCCATCTCTGAAATGGGGACCCAAGAGTCACTCTTAACAAATTCTGCCGCAGAGTTACCTTTTGAAGGCACACAGCTATCTAACTCTTGGAGGGATGGGTTAGCCAGCTTTCCAGGTCTCTGGCTCCCTCTGTACTTAGCTCCAGCACAGGGCTTTTGCCCTGAGCTTTGCAGCCATACAAGGTGCTGCCTCTGCTGTAGTGCATGAAGGCCCATTCTCAGCTGCACCCAGTGAACTAATTCTTGGTAAGTGTCACAGGGAGTGGACAATATCTACTTTCCCACTGTTTGGAAGCCTGGTGAAGTCCAAGTCACCCAGAACTCTGTGCCTAACACAAGTGATACAATTGGCAATAGCATGCCACTTCCTTGGAGTTGCGACGGGGGGGGGGGGGCAACAGGACATAAGAGCCCTGCCCTTCCACCAAGACTTGACTGTGTGAGAACCAGAGGACTGTTGAGGGGTAAGGTTTGGTGACTATCACAGATAATGAATGGAGTGGCTACTGAGCAAAGCCAAGATTTATTGAAGGGTCTTGAATGATGGTGGTGCAACAGCCATGCCAGGTGGAGTGTTCCCATTTGTACAATCATGTTAGGTTTCTGATAGCTGGTTTTTCATTTTATTTTGATTATGGCATGTGTTCCCCCCACTTCATTTTTGTTGGTTTAATATTGTCTGATCTTTTCCAAATGCAATAAGATGCAATTTGTTTTTGTTCTTGTTTTTATTAGATTCTGCGTGTGCTTGGTGAAAATGCAATTGCTGTTCGAACAAAAGCCATGAAGTGTTTGTCTGAGGTTGTTGCTGTAGACCCCAGCATTCTAGCCAGGGTAAAAAAAAAGAAACAATCTGTAATCATGCGTGCATGCATATGTTTTTCTGTTCTCATTAATCACATTTTCTGGCTCTTTCTTACTTTGCTTTTGTATTTTGCCTGTTGCTTGTAGCTGGATATGCAGCGGGGTGTTCATGGACGGTTGATGGATAATTCCACTAGTGTACGAGAGGCAGCCGTTGAGTTACTTGGTCGGTTTGTGCTTTGTCGACCACAGCTTGCTGAACAGTATTACGACATGCTGATTGAGCGAATATTGGTACGGTTACTCTTAAATTTCAGTATTTATGAAGTTCTTATAAAGCTTTTTGTGACTACAGTGAAAGGCAGTTGTTCTGTTTACCAGGCTTGCCTTTTAAATGTAGCTGCTGTTTAAAGATTAGTGAATCCTTTCGGGTGATAAGATCTGATGTAGTGAACTTGTGCTGAAATAGATTTTGCTAGTGTTTAAGGGGCTTTTAAGGACTTCTGTTTAATTTTTTTTTGTCAAGAGGGTTTCATTCATATATACTCTATCTCAAGAGGTTTTCATTCATATATACACTATATTCATATATACACTTTCACATTCATATATAAACATATATACACTTGCTCCAGTTTATTAATATATTCGTAGTGCCATATGGTCCAGATCTATCAAATTTTGTGTTGCTAATAAATCATGCTGTTGTATGATTGACAGTGCATTGTTAAAAGCTGTTAAATTAACTTCCTTTTTCTTCCTTGCAGGATACTGGTATTAGTGTCAGAAAAAGAGTGATAAAGATTCTTCGGGATATCTGCATTGAACAACCCACATTTCCCAAAATTACAGAAATGTGTGTAAAAATGATTCGCAGAGTCAATGACGAGGAAGGCATTAAGGTATGATAAATTTTCTTCCATGTAGGTTACTTCTGTCAAACCTTTTTTGAATGTAGGTTCCTGCCCCACTGAACTGCTATACTTTTGAACTGGGGCTCTCCCAGTAATGCTCCTAGTAGATTGGATTTATTCAGACCCAGAGGAATTTTCGTGTGTGGTTATTTAGAGATTTTGCAAGCTGAGTTTAACCATTGATTTGGTGTATCTTGTTCTCTCCAGAAACTGGTGAATGAAACATTCCAGAAGCTGTGGTTTACCCCAACACCTCATAATGACAAAGAAGCAATGACCAGGAAAATACTGAATATCACTGATGTGGTACGATTGAAAGTGTGAATGTTCTTTATCAGGTAGCACAAGAGAGGGGGCCAGAGGGTGCTGTGTCCAATGTGGCTGTGGTGTAGTTTTGTGACATCATTGGTGCATTGAAGTACAATCTCCCTCCCCCTTAGTACTTGGCTGAGAGCTCTCCCAGTATAACAGTCAAAAAATTATTCTGATCCCCCCTCCCCAATATAAGCTGTATCCCTTTCTCTCTGCCCCGTGGTACGTTTCCTTTATTAAAAAAATCTTCACATGCTGGATTGAAGCTGGATAATCAAACTTTTATGGCTTGTATCCTAAGCAGCAGAAGTGAAGTCACTCGAAGGGGAAGATAACGTTTGCACCTCCCCCTTCATACTGCAGCTTTCTTTGCTTCTTGAAATTGTGCTGCTGTGAGTCAGCAGACTTGTAGGAACAGTGTGGGGAGCAAACTGGGAGAGGGGGATGGGGGGGGGAATCTCCCTTCCAAACAGAAAAGCCATTCCTTTGGAGGTGCTACTATGGCTTCTGCTGCCCCCGTTCTAACAATCTTACTTTTAGTGCAGGGCTAGGTTCAGTGAAGATTACAGTTAGAGGCTGAAGAGATGGAAACTTTAAACCAATAGTTGTAAGGGTTGAAAGCACTTGGAGCCTATTAAATTACTTAGTTTAATATTAATGTTTAAATCATATTTTCAAAAAATATTTTCACACTTCTTTTTTTTAGGTTGCAGCTTGTAGAGATACAGGGTATGACTGGTTTGAGCAGCTTCTTCAGAACGTGAGTAATATTTTTGATACGTTACTTTTAACTTTGAAGTATATCTGGCAGGCTTTTTGACAGTTGGTTAACAAATTCATATTTTGCCCTGCTCTGTAATACGTTCCCAAGGCACCTTACAAAGCAACCATAGCCCCAAAACAATAATTAAACATAATAAAATACACTAAAAGGAAGCAACAGAATTAAATTAACTTAATTCCAAGAAACAAAAAATTAAAAATTAATAAAGCAAAATAACACTTTATTTAAACAACAATATAAGCAATTAGTAAGTACACTTTTAAAATATCCATTAGAGAAAGCATCAATACCTGAGGGATTTGGAGAGGCTACTTAATAATGTTTAACTTCCTAACCTTTCTATCTCTTCCCCCACCCCTACTTGGTTTTACGGTAATCTGGTTCAGTGTAACTGAATGCTGGATGTTGTCTTAAGAAGTGTCATTGCTAAGTGAATATTGTATACCATGTTCATATTTAACACCCAGTGGATATATGTGAACAACAGAAGTGATTAAATACCTTCCCAGTTGTTACTTTATTTTAAAGAAAGTGTATTCCATCTTGGTTAGTGTTTCCTGATTTTTTGTTACTGTTAGAAATAGTAACAAAGTTTGCGTTCTTTTGGCTCAGAGAACAAGACTCTAAAATGAAATGAGTTTCCCAGCTGCCAACATCTTGCATGGCCAATATGGTAAATCCAAGCCAGAGAACAATTTCTCCCACCATCCCTTCCATTCCCTCCCAGTTTATCTGCCCCTCTGATGGGGAGCAATTTGATGGCTGCGGGCAGCCATCAGAAGGAGCAAAAATTCTTAGTGTCATTCCTTCACCTTTTTTCATTCCTCCATTTCTTCCCCAAGTGGGTTTTGGACACTTGTAGTGACCAGAATTCCCGACCTATTAACTATCAGGCTTTCTGGATACCGTGCTTTAGGGAGCGGGAAGAAGGAGGATAGGATGCCTGTAGAAAACCCATCTAGGAAAGAAATTTTGTAAGTTGCTTTCCAGATTTTGCCAGTCATAGGGATGGAGGCTGTGCGCGGACACTTCAGCTGTGCATAGTTGCTGTGCTTAACAAGCCAGCAATCACATGGAGGAGGGAGGGGGGAAGAGATGCTTGTGCCTGCTGTCACTCTCTGCGTGTTTGTTCAGTCAGTGCATGGAGAGGTCGAGTGTTCAGGGTTTATGTGTGTGTTTGAAATGAAATGTACCAGGACAAGCATCTAATCTTAAACGACTGAAACGTTTAGCCTGGAGAGGAGACAACTGAGAGGTGATATGATAACCATCTTCAAGTACTTCAAGTATAGAGGATGGTATGGAGTTGTTTTCTGTTGCCCCAGAAGGTTGGACTAGAACCACCGGACTGAAATTAAATCAGAAGAGTTTTCAGCTAAACATTAGGAAGAACTTCCTGACAGAGCGATTCCTCAGTGGAACAGGCTTCCTCAGGAGGTGGTGGGCTCTCCTTCTTTGGAGATTTTCAAACAGAGGCTAGATGGTCATCTAACAGCAATCCTGATTCTGTGAACTTACACAGATCATGAGAGGGAGGGCAGGAAGGGTTGTCTCAGTGCTTAGTTCTTGTGGCCCTTTCTTACACGCCCAGGGAAATGCTGATTGCCACTTTGGAGTCAGGAAGCATTTTTTCTCTAGGTCAGTTTGGCCAGGGATCCTGGAGGTTTTTTCCATTTCTTGGACATGGAACAGCGATCACTGGGGGTGTGGAGGGGGAGGTATTTGTGAATTTCCTGCATTGTGCATGGGGTTGGACTAGATGACCCTGGAGATCCCTTCCAACTCTATGAGTCTGTTATTCTGTTTATTTGTCATTAGCTTTGTGCTTCATATTGATGAGAATTAGAGGCAGTTTCTGCAGCTGTTGACTATGCAGATAGTGGTAATATCTGTGTTCAAGTTCTTCATATTATCAGCTTGTTAAATCTTAATTGTGGTCACTGTGAACCAGCTATTCATTGTCTTTCTATGCTGTTGAAGACAGCATGTATATTCTTAGATTTAGCCATCAGTATCAAATTTGCCTGTTTTGTTGTTGCAGCTGCTGAAGTCTGAAGAAGATGCTTCCTATAAGCCTGTGAAGAAGGCCTGTACTCAGCTGGTGGATAATTTGGTTGAACACATTCTCAAATATGAGGAATCTCTGGCAGGTAAAATGGTCATTTGCAGTTTATTTCTTTGCTGTTTAGGAGGTTTCAGTGGTATTAGAGACCCATATAAAGTTCAGCATTTGATGCTCACAGTTGGTGGAAATGGTTTCAGAAGTGTGACAGTGGGTCAATACAGACACAGAGCTGAGAGGAAAAGGGGGTGGTCATGGTTCTCATGGGGGGAAAGCAGCAGAATGGTCACCTGATTCAGCCCTCAGTCTTATCCCCATTGTAAAAGGGTAGTACGCGGGCACCCTTGTATTGTGCCTGTTTTATTAACTGAAACCAAATTGGATTTGTTTTGTGTACCCAGAACTGAATTCACAGTGTGCATGAAATTCAAAGGATCGAGTGACAAGGATCAGTTAGGGTTCTTCCAGTCTTTAACATCTTATAAAAAAAATGAAGCCTTTTAAAAAATCATATCCTGCTTTTCTCCCTGATTGGGGACGCGAAGTGGCTCTTCGCATTGTGCCCCCCCCCCGCTTAATCCTCACAACAGCTACCCTGTGAGGATAGGTTAGGCCAAGAGATTGTGAGGGCCCCAAGATCACCTGGCAGGCTTCCATGATTGGGTGAGGGATTCGAACCCAGGTCCTGGCGTGGTGCTCTAAGCGCTGCTCCACACACAGCACAGCTGTGGTATGGGTTAGTGAATCCAAATGCCATGGCTAAGGTGCTGGCAGCAGGGCTCTAGTCGGGGGGGAGCTCTCAGGTACGGAGCTCCGGAAGAGAACCTCTAGGGGGCGGGGCGGTCACGTGGTGAAGCCCCGCCCCCTTCTTTACCCCGCCCTCTGCTTCGATCCTCATTCCGTTTGGGAATGAGGATGAAGCAGGAGGGTAAGTAGCCGGGCCTTCTGACACACTTCCGGTGATGTCAGGGGGTGTGGCCTTCTGTCACTTCCGGTGATGTCAGGGGGCGTGGCATATGCAAATAAGTTATGCTAATGAGTTATGCTAATGAGCTCCGGCAGCTCTTTTTCTACAACAAGACCCCTGGCTGGCAGGGTAGAAGAACTTGGCCGTGCTGTCCTCAGCATCTCTTTGGAACTGCTACACATGCAGGGCCAGCATAGCAGGAGATCAGTGTTGTACTTCTACCCAGATAGCACACTTTGCACATGACTAGGGTCTCATTTAAATTAAAGAAAGAGTCCAGTGGCACCTTTAAGACAAACAAGGTTTTATTCAAGGTATGAGCTTTTGTGCATGTGCATGCTTCTTCAGTCAGAGTGAAATGAATAGAAATAACAGCCATATATATAGATGGTGGGCAGTAAATTAGCATACAGAATAATGAAGCTGTTTTTAACAGATTAAAAGAATAACAAGCTTAGATATATGGCTGTTATCTGTTTGGATTCAACTAGTGGGGGAAATCATACAAGGAAATAAATCTGAATAAAACTTTGTTGGTATTAAAGGTGCCACTGGACTCTAATTTTGTTCTATTGCTTCAGGCCAACATGACTGCCCACCTGGATTTAAATTAAACATCATGTATAAATGAGGTGTAATGGATTAGCCACAAATGATCTGTTGCATCTGTTTTTGTACTCAAAAATTAAGTGCTGATTTTCATTGCCGAGTTTTTATTTATCACCTAAGGGAAACTTATATAAGCAGGTATGAGCTCTTTGGGGAAAGGGTGGGATAAAATACTGTAGATAGTACAGACTTGTAAGTAGCTTCCCTTTTATACTACTTGATGACTTACCTGGCCAGCTTATATCCAGGGTTCACATATCACACAGACAGCACTACTCAGTACAATTGCTGCATGCTCTGACACTTCACTGCTATAGAAGTAACTCATCATCTCTGTTTTTCCTCTTTGTTTTGCAGATTCTGACAACAAAGGTGTGAATTCCGGTCGGTTGGTAGCTTGCATAACCACTTTGTTTTTATTCAGCAAAATCAGGCCCCAGTTAATGGTCAAACATGCTATGACCATGCAGCCATACCTTACCACTAAGTGCAGTGTAAGTACAGAAAAACTCACTACTTGGCTTCTGATGTATTGGTATATAATGTGGTTGAAAGCAGCTATGTCATGTTTGTTGCAGTGAGGAATAATTGTGGCTTCAGGTCACTATCCCTCTCTTTTCACCCATGAATAGCATGTTATCCCACCCATGTATTTTTGAAAGGTACCTTTGTCTTTTCACTTAAGGCAGCTCCAAGCTTCACATAGCAATTGTATTTGCACATACACCTATGTTCTCCATAGCAAACATTTAAAAGTGTGAAGAATGCTGCAGCTGTGTTTCTGCGTCTCTGGCTGTCCTGATTGGCTGAACATGATTGGCCGATTGGCTGAACTTGGTCCAAAAGTCCTGTGTGTGTTTGCTGTGGGAGCAACCTGTAAAGCAGTGCAGGATCTTCTTGTGGGGTGTGTACTATGCAAACATTAAACCATTACAACAGGAAAACTGCATTTAAAATAAATAGGGTTGCCAAGCACACACACACACACACCCGACACTGGCAGGGAATGGGGGAATAGGGTTGCCAGATCCAGGTTGGGAAACTCCTGGAGATTTTGGGGTGGATCCTGGGGAGGACAGGAGGGACCTCAGTGGGAAGAAGAAGAAGGAGAAGAGATTGGATTTATACCTCGCCCTTCACTTGGAGTCTCAGAGCGGTTTATAATCTCTTCCCTTCCTCTCCTCACAACAGACATCCTGTGAGGTAGGTGGGGCTGAGAGAGCTCTGAGAAAACTGCTCTTGAAAGAACAGCTGAGAGAACTGTGACTGACCCAAGGTCACCCAGCTGGTTTCATGTGGAGGAGTGGGGAATCAAACCCAGTTCTCCAGATTAGAGTCTGCCGCTCTTTACCTCTGCACCAGACTGGGTACAATGCCGTAGAGTCCACACTCTGTAGTCTGGAGATGAGCCATAGTTCCAGGAGATCCCCAGGCCCCCACTTGGCGGCTGGCATCTGTGAAGACAAAGCATATGTAAAACAGTTCAATAAAAACATATAAACAGGGGAACAGTGCCACAACCAGGGAAGAGGGGCAGTAACAGTTATTGGGGGTATCCAAACAAAACAAGCACTGGCAGAAGACAATGATGGAGGGAGAAAGAAAAATCTTCCTTGGGGGGAGTTCCAAAGTTTTGGTGCCCAAACTGAAAAGGCTGTCTCTCAGGTTGCCACCCGGCCAGCCTCAGATGGTGGGAGCACCTGAAGCAGGGCCTCTGAAGATGACTAGAGGGGCGAGTACATTCATACTGGAGAAAGTGGTCCTTTCAGTTTGGTGTAGTGGTTAAGTGCGCGGACTCTAATCTGGGAGAACCGGGTTTGATTCCCCACTCCTCCACTTGCATCTGGCTGGATGACCTTGGGCAAGCCGTAGTTTTGACAAGAGCTGTTCTTAAAAAAAGAGCAGTTTCTGTCAGAGCTCTCTCAGCCCCACCTACCTCACAGGGTGTCTGTTGTGGGGAGCGGAAGGGAAAGGAGTTTGTAAGCCGCTCTGAGACTCCTTCAGGTAGTGAAGGGCAGGGTATAAATCCAATCTCTTCTTCTTCTTCTTAATATACCATGTGGAGTGGCTGCATTAGAGAAATGAAACCTTCCCACTGAAAGCACTGTTGGAATTTCTCTTTTCCTCAGACGGATTTGGGTGCCACACCACAAGATAGCATCAGAAAAGCTCCATTCTTTTAAATCCTGTCTTTGTAGAGGTGTACTGTTGGGGTGTGGTCCATCTTATGGAGTGGCTCCCGAGGGAACCACAGGCTTACTTACAGGCGAGTGAGTATGCAATTAGTTGTTCTCCAGATGGTCTCTGTTGCCACTCTGTAAGATGAGCAATACCAGAACTGTACAGCTGAAAAAAATCACACTGTATGAAAGAACTGAGTAAGCTTCCATGATGCTATCTTCTCAAGTGGCATTTGAGAAGCGCTGCTGGTACACAAGTACACAGCAGGTTGTTTTAAGCATAAAAATATTTTCCAGCTTTTATGCATACATTGGAAACCATAGAATGAAGGCTTCAAGCTGCTGAACTCCTTGTTAGAAGACATGTTTTACACTCCATAGCTTGGTTGCAGCGGTGTGGATAGCTAGAGACCACTGAGCACAGCAAACACTTTCTTTAGACAATGCAACTCTATGCTGCAGGGATGGTTCAATCAATATACACTACTGGGCCACATTTCATTTTCTAGGACAATAGCCTGTACCTTGTTGGTGTTGCCTTTCATGTTTTTACTCATCTGTGAACACAGTCCTCCTAAATTCTCTCCCATGCTTTTGTAAAACTCCTTTGATTTCAACAGTGCATACATGCTTTACATGTTATATAAAAAACTAGCAGATTTTATAAACTCTGTATTCCTGAGTCATGATATAGTACAGTAGTAAAAGCAGAGCCAAGATTTTAAATGGTTTAAAACGTTTAAATGCTTTCCTACAGACTCAGAATGACTTCATGGTGATCTGCAATGTTGCAAAAATTTTAGAGTTGGTAGTGCCACTGATGGAACATCCAAGCGAGACCTTCCTTGCTACTATTGAAGAAGATCTCATGAAGCTTATAATCAAATATGGCATGACAGTAAGGTTTAATTTCTCCTTCAAGCTGGTCATTTTGTTTTAATTGCTTTAAAAACAATGTCTCTACCTGTTGAAATTTTGACAGGTAAACATGAAAGGTGGTTATGCTAATTTAATCTATGGATATGATGTCTAATTTGGCTTGCCATAACTTTTATATATGTCACAGTAACACTGTGTTGCAGAGGTCCCCAACCTTTTTGCGCCTTTGGAATTCTGATACAGTATGGTGGGCGCAGCTACAAAATGCCTGCTGCAGCTGACCTTCATTCATACAGTGAAGATCCTTGTGCTGTGGTGGCAGCTGGTGCCAAAGGACCATATTTAAAGAACCTGCAGAGCCAACCTAATCTCAAGTGCTCAGTTAGAAGCCCTGCTGGGCAAAAGCCCCAACTACTTGTTAAAAACACTTGGTGGGCACCAGAAAAGGTGTTGGTGGGCACTGTGTTAAGAACATAAGAGAAGCCAGTGTTGGATCAGGCCAATGGCCCATCCAGTCCAACACTCCATCACCCAGTGGCCAAAAATACCAGCTGCCATCAGGAGGTCCAGCAGTGGGGCCAGGACACTAGAAGCCCTCTCACTGTTGCCCCCCCCCCCAACACCAAGAATACAGAGCTTCACTTGCCCCAGACCGAGAGTTCCTTTCTATACCTTGTGGCTAAATAGCCACTGATGGATCTCTGCTCCAATTCCCTCTTAAAGCCATCTGTGCTTGTAGCCGCCGCCACCTCCTGTGGCAGTGAATTCCATGTGTAAATCACTCTTTGGGTGAAGAAGTACTTCCTTTTATCACTTCTAACCCGACTGCGCAGCAGTTTCGTTGAGTGCCCACGAGTTCTTGTATTGTGAGAAAGGGAGAAAAGTACTTCTGTCTCTACCTGCTCTATCCCGTGCATAATCTTATAAACCTCATTCGTGTCTCACCCCTCTTTTCGTTTCTCCTGCTGTATTGGTTATGGAAATATTTTCACAAAACATAACAGTTTCTAAACTAAGAACTATTCTGTGACTCTGGAATGTCCTTGACATTGTTCCTAAGGAAATTGTAACACTTTCTGTTTTGTTTCCAGGTAGTACAGCACTGCGTTAGTTGCCTTGGGGCCGTTGTAAACAAGGTCACTCAGAATTATAAATTTGTATGGGCCTGTTTTAATAGATATTATGGTGAGTTGAATATTAAAAGATCTGAATAAAAATAGTAACTGCCAAAAAAAAAAAAATTACATGTGAAACCAGTTGTGAAAACAGTTGTTCTTTCTTCAGGTGCACTTTCAAAGTTAAAAAGTCAACATCAGGAAGACCCAAACAGCACTATACTCACAGCAAATAAACCAGCACTCCTTAGATCCCTTTTCACTGTTGGAGCATTGTGTCGGCATTTTGATTTCGATCAAGAAGATTTTAAAGGCAACAGCAAGGTAAACGTGCTGTATTTATTTGCTTACTGTTGCATATTTGAAAGTAATTTCGGATGGACTGAAATCCCTGGGATAAATGACAGCTAAAACTTTTTAGGTATGTGTTTGGGTATTAATGATTATTTTTAAAATGAACTGAAACATTTTCAGTCCCCCCCCCCCCCCCTAGCCATACTATTTTTCTGTAACTAGGTTAACATTAAGGACAAAGTACTTGAACTGCTGATGTATTTTACCAAACATTCAGATGAGGAGGTACAAACAAAAGCCATTATTGGTCTAGGTAAGAACTTACAAAAGCTTGCAGTTTTATTTTACTCTTGGTACGAATACTTAGCACACCACAGGTAGAGGGTTTTGCCAGTGCAGTGATTCTTGGGAATGTTGGCACTTTGACCCAGATTAATGTAGTAGTCGTATGCAGAGGCAGGTGATGACAAAGTCACCTGTTTGTTCCTTGCCTTGAAAACCCCATAAGTTGGCTGCAGCTTGATGACAGTTTGAACCACCACCAATGTAGTAGTTCGGAACTTCATAGGGAAGCTGATGCCCTTAAAGTCTGATGTCATCGTTTTTCACATAGACACAGAAGTATACTTTGCTATACTCAGCTATCATTATCCTACAGGTTTGTAGGTAGTCTGGATAAGATCAAGTGGCCTTTAAATATGCATGTTGCTTATTTGTCGTGCTGTATTTTAAAGCAGTCAGGATTTTGTCTTGAGGTAGGAGCTCAGGAACAATGAGATTTATTAAGCAGAATTTTCTCTCCTTATTTTCTTTCAGGGTTTGCATTTATACAACACCCAGGTCTAATGTTTGAACAGGAGGTGAAAACACTGTACAACAACATCCTTTCTGATAAAAATTGTTCAGTAAATTTGAAAATCCAGGTGTTAAAAAACCTCCAAACGTACCTTCAAGAGGAAGATACACGAATGCAGCAGGCAGATAGAGAATGTGAGTGATGAGCATTACTGTATTGAGTGAACAGTACGAATACAATAAGTGCCCACAGTCTGTTTACTGATCCATCTGTGTATATACACAGGGACTAATTACTAGTCAAAAGCTTTACAGGTAAATGAGTTCCAAAGGAATCTACACATGCAGTAGAATGTTTAGATAGTAGACTGGATGGTACCACTTAGATGGCAGGTGCAGGATCTCATTTTCGAAACTTCCCAACAAGTAGTAAACACACAGCCAGGAAAGAGAAGAGTTAAAGCATTTCCCCTGATTTTTTTTCTTCAAAAAAAAAAATCTTCTTGAAGGGAACTTTTTAAAGAGTTCTTTAAAGGAGTTTTTACATGGAGGAACACTGGGAAAAATTGTGTCCTGTGGTCTGAAGCAGTGTAGCCCACCCTTCTGTTCTGTGATTCTACCACCTTATCCCACTGAAGGAAGTGAGCAGTGACTCACGAAAGTTCATACCATGCCACATATTTTGTTAGTCTGTAAGGTGCTACTGGACTCTTCCTCTTTTCTACTTATCCCACTGTATCTGTAAAGACTTTAATCTGTAGTTTGTTAAAATAGTTTTAAAAGTTTATTCTGAACCAAGAGTCTTCACTGTTGATTGAGGCATACATACCACAGCAGACAGGATACTCTTTTTTTTGTGGTATCATGGGACATCCTCTGTAGCAGAGGAATGCAACATTATCTTTGTGAGATACTTTATGCAAGGGGAAAAATAGACCGAGGCTGTGTCTGCCTTAAATTTTCTCCCATTCCTGGTCTGACATTTTATTACTGTAGCCAAAGTTTAGAAACTCCCATCCTGTAGATACAAAGATCATTCCAAAATTACTACCATCATTAACACTGGCAGTTATCCCAATGTGTTCTCCATGTTTATGCATGAAAAATTCAAGATATTTGATAAGGAGATGGAGATGCTGCCTCTTGGTGCAGTCATATATTTAATTCTGAACATGGCCAAATCTGTGGGTTCTTACATCCAGAAATTAGAGCCATGGACAGACAAGCCAGATCTTTCTACAAACCCGAAAAATGCCTCAGGTTTGCAGAAAAATCTTTTAAAAAACAATAGAAGCAGGGCTGCTAGCTTTTTTTTTTTTTTAAAGAATGTCCTCAGTGACCATTAGTAGGTAACCACAACAGTATTGCTAGCCTTCAAGTCCTGGTTTCTGTCACTAAAAGGTAGGGGGGGGGGAACAGGGCACTTTCCAGGGCTTTTTTGAAATTTAAAGGTGGACTCATTGGGGCCTGGTCTGGCAGCACTGACTAGGCAACTTGCCACCATGCAACTTGCATGACTGGCAGCTTGCTAGTGTTCAACAGCAGCTGCCCCATGAAAGCCAGTGTGGTATAGTGGTTAGAGTTTCAGACTAAGGTCTCAGAGTCCCAGGTTCAAATCCCCACTGTTCTCTGGACACTCACAGGGTGAACCTAGGCCATTCACATTCAGCCTTACTTACCTCACAGAGCTGTTGACAGGGTAACATGCAGGAGAAAAGAATTTTGTAAGCTGCTTTGGATCCTGTGGTGCAATGGGCCTGCTCTGGCCTGCAGGCCCTGTTCCACACTGCCTTCCAAGGTTTTTGCAACACCTGCCACCACCTGACCTTTGTACAGAATTGCCCGCTGAGAGGGTCAGGACTTCCAGCTTCCCTTCCAAGCTCTGAGCCTTGTCTCTGTGTCTCCTGCTGCACAGCGCCTGGTCACCACAGGGACAGGTTACTGCCTTGCGCGCCTTTGCCAACTGCCTGTTTTCCCCATGGCACTCCTTTTAAAATAGTTGTCCAAGACAGTGGAGGTCCTTGTGATACAGAGAACCACTGCCAGTTAGGGGTGCTCATTTGGCCTATATTGAGCCGAAAAAATATCCATAAGATACCTTAGCAGTATTTCCCAGATATTTTTTCAGCTGGATATAGAGCCGGTTATTTATTTGGCTATCCAAAAATGGCTTACCTGAAAAATCCTGAAAATATTCAGGATTTTTTGGGACTGCAGGATAGCTGAAGGTAAAAGGTGTTAGCATCTTCCAGATGAACTTGCCACTTTGAGAAGGAATTTAAAGGGACTGTGAGCCATTTAAATGACTTTGGAGTTCACTTGTGGCTTGCAAAAGGCATTTAAAGGGACCATGATCAGTGTTCCTACTAAGCTGTGCTAGCCACTGCTGGCACATTACTTTTTAGCCCTTAGCGCACAGATTTTTGTCTGTGTGCAGGGCAACAAGCGATCCAGTTTCCCCACCCCTCTTGGTGGAGAAAGCAAAAGGGCAGACTTCACCTGGTTATGTGGGTGGGAAACAATGGATTTCCTAGTGCTCGGGCAGTTGAAATAGATGTGGAATGAAAGGGAGGAGTGGATTGGGTGAGGGCAAGTTTTGTTGGGCGGAAATCAAAAGACTTCTGATTCCAGATCTGATCCCTTTGGCTTCTCTGGGCTTGGACGAGGAGCTGAGGCTGGGACAAGCTTTCCATTGGCTCCTGGGACCCCCAAAAGGGCGGGACTTAGCAGAGGTTTGGCTGACGTGCTGCGTTTGTTGAGCCTTTTGCCCTGTGCGGGATTCCAAGCGAGGTGCTGGATTCTGAGCAGCCTTGTAAGCAGCTGTCAAGGAGCCTCTCCAAGAGACTGACAACTGTCGCCAGCCCCATCTGCCCATCCTCACCGACCCCCCTTCCTGGGGGGGGTATGCAACAGGAAAATCCAGAGCCAGCCTTTTATCTTGGCAACAGGGGGCTAGGCAAGCTGAGGCTTCAGAGCCAATTGTGAAGTGATCCCTTAAGGCTTGGGGGATCCACCAGCCTCTCTTCCATCCAATTCGTTGGGGGAAAAGGCAGACCATGAGGGTTTAAAGTGGACTGCCCAGCAGAGCCTGCAGGGAGAACCCTCGGCTGGGGCTGGGTGCTCTTTGCAACTCAGAGCTGCAAATAGGAACCAGCCCAGGATTGTCTGGGGCAGCGTGAGGCTCTCAGCTCCCACGGCCCTAGCTGATCCTCTTTTTTCCCACTAAACCCAAACGCAAAAAATACCACGGGGTTTGTTTGTTTTTTGCACACACCCTACTACCAGCATCAAAAGTTACAAAATATTTATTTAAAAGAAACTGTTCGCAAGCATACTTTTAGCACAGCACCAGATTGAGTAAGGGATCCAAAAGAAATTGGTACAACTTAAATCCTCTCTCCCTTTCTCTATACATGCCCTATCAGACATTAAAATATATAGGACCGGCTCTACAGAGTTCCCATACCTAAAAGCTCTCTCTAGCTCTTCAGGCGAGCACATGGTCAAATGGCTGATTCAGCACCCAGAGGAGGAGGAGGAATTTATACTCCTCCCTTCACTACCCAAAGGAGTCCCAGAGCAGCTTACAAACTCCTTTCCCTTCCCTTCCCTTCCCCACAACAGACACCCTGTGAGGTAGGTGGGGCTGAGAGAGCTCTGACAGAAACTGCTCTTTTTCAAGAATAGCTGTGCCAAAACTATGGCTTGTCCAAGGTCATCCAGCAGGTGCAAGTGGAAGAGTGAGGAATCAAACCCAGTTCTCCCAGTTTGGGTTCCGCACACTTAACCACTACACCAAACTGGCTCCCGAGAGAGACCTCCTCTTTGCTGCAAGGATTTTTTTTATCATATCTGGTCAGAGAAGTTCTTCCTGAAGTCTCCAGAAGTTTCCTTCCTGAAACCTCTCTAGCACTTAACACCTCCAAATCTCTGTTCTCTGCTTGGAAAGGGGTGGTGGTGGCCCATCCAGTTGTTTCTAGCTGGACCTATTAGCATTTGTTATGAGGTAGTTGAGGTGACCCTGGAAAGCCATCCACTGACTTCTTCCTCCTCGCTTGTTCTCTGCCCAGAGAGGAAAAAGCTTTTAAAACTCCAAAGGAAAAAATACATTTCTTCACAGGTCCTATTGTGGACAAAAACAGAAAAAGTTAATAAATATAGTAAATGAAATATATAAATAAATGCAGCTTGAAGATGAGGGTCAGATAAAAGGTAGATTGGTGTTTGTGTGGGAAGGAGGGAAGGAAGCAGGGAAATGTGAGGATATGG